GCGGTTTTTGGGGACCCGCTCGTACCCAAAATTCCCAAGTCACCTCAATGAATTTCACGACATCATTGAGCCCAGGTGAATGAGGTATGATCATATGTAAGTTAAGATCATCAAGCAGCAGCGATGCTGGAAAATTACGAGTTACTTGGCGAGGATTTTCCGACTAGCTCGACGAATTGACCCATATTTGAGAAGAATAGACCGTATCACACTCTGGAGCGCTACTGAAGTTGCGCGATTTCCTCGAAGGCATGTAAAGTCCAACATTGGGATAGGATCCATAAGAGTGATGTGTGATGTGTCAGTTCAAATACTCCTGACCGAGAGCTATGTAGCCGAAAACGATGTTCGCCAGCGGTTCTCGTTTTCTCAGGCCATTAATCGATTCAGCGGATATCTTGTGATCAGTAGCCAGACTCGAGTACTTTTAGGTATCCCTTATCTCCCACGTTATCAGCACCTAACAGTAAGATGGACCAAATCGCTGTCCGCTATGTTGTTTTTTGTAGATGTGAAAATTTCGCTACGGACATATGGGCACCATATAAAGCCTGCGAAAACTGTAAGCAGCGTTAATTTGGGTGATAATGACACCTCTTTGGCAAAATTCCGCCATCATGCACTTTTAAATCTTACAGAAATAGGCGTACACCAATATATTGGTTTACCGAAGCCAACAAGCTCCGAGTAGAGACATGTGCTACGAACAAGCAGCCATTGGGTCCTTCATTAAGATCCTTTACCAACCGAGTTTAACGTTGTAGCGAATTCAGGAAACCAATTGCTTTCCGGTAAAACTGATCTTCCAAAAGCGGTAAAAAAGACTTGATACAACCTTTTGCGGAGTTTAGAACCCTGGCCTCCATTTTCCGTCCATTAAAACGCGAAATCGGTTCAGGCGTGTGCTCGCCCAAATCTCAGCGATGTCGAAAAGACTGACGTCTGTGTACTTCCGTCGCTCTAGTTACCTTGCGTATAAAAGAAAGCTGTTCTCCGGTCTCATGGAACAGGCTGCGTCATCCCCGGAAATATCGGACCACATGTAGGCAACACTGTGTTTTTGAAGTTTACTGTTTTTAGCCCCTGTACGTTTTAGCTAGCGGTCGTCCTCCATGCCAGGACTTCTTCTTTATGAATGCTTAATCATTTTTCGAAATAACTTACGAAGTCTGGGGGGAAATGTCTGGTTCAAAGTCAGTCCTTCGAAGAAAAAATCTCTCTCTTTTTTAGATGTTGATAAAGCGTTGCAAATTGGGAAAATTGCATTTGCCTTTGCTGCTTACCAGTAACATGTTCAGCTTTCGTGGTTTTCCAAAATTCCATCCCGCTTACGGCGAATCAAACACACGAAAACCTCAACACTGGCCAATGCTCTTAAAACTTGCTACGTAGCTCTAGTATTATGTTACCGCTGACATAGCAGTGCCGTTGATACATTGTACCGCAGTGAATGTTGGTGCTTAGCCTTCACAAGCTTTTCGAAGACTCCACAATTTAGACTTATGTAGTAGACCATGCTGTTCCAACTCAAGCAGGCAATCAATGTCCACTCAAGCGAAACTTGTGCCTAGTGGCGATGGATCAAGATCCAGCTAGACAGATCCACTTGCGTTTGCCGAAGGGTGGCCCTGGCGACCACGAATAAGACCATGTAATGTCAGAGCAGGGTAAGGATCCATGTTCTGTTTCAACTGGCGTTTGTCTTAACACCTAGGGAGTTTTAACTCGTGTCAGTTTCACATAGGACCTTCAAACCATTTTAAATCTAAGCTTTTTTAATTTACTAGACTCACTATACATCACGTTTAACTATGCCATCTCCAAGTCATCTGCAGCTTCGGCGCATCAACTTCTCATGACCAGTTGGCGTAACTGGTGATTCTGAAAATGCGTTACGCGTTAGCCTAGCTGCTGGCTACCCGTCGCTTCTACAGATGGTGGGTAGTGGAATGGCCTTCAGCACATGTTAACTGTGAAACAAGCAGACTTTTGGATGTGACAAATAAGCACACATTAACCAGCATGGACAGTGCTACGAGCGGGCGTAGAGTTGACGTCTGGCACACCGAAAACCTTAAAAATAGCCGCCCTCCGCGGAAATCAACGCGCCTCGTAACCCGGTTCCAGTAGTGTACGAGACTAGTATGCGAGCTAGACCACTCAGTCGGGAACAGATGGTTTATATTGGATGCTGGAATTTGCAAATGTTCCTGGACCTTGGCACCCCTAGTCTGATAGCGCGCCGCTTCGACCGGTACAACGCGGACGTCTGCTGCCTGTCTGAAACTTGAATTCCTGACTCGGGTGCTCGAGAAACAAAGATCCTTAAAGGCAAATGACCCTTCACTCTTTACCGCAGTGATCCACATGACTCTTGTGGTAGACAAAGTGTGGTGATCTCCCTCTCACAACATACTTGCAATGCTTGCTTGAAAACCAGTCAGTGATCGGATGACGTACTTGCAACTGAAGGGCCATTTCACGAGTATTTATGTCGTTCTCCTATACGCACCAATTTCAGCTACTGAACAGTGTGATAAAGAGTTTTGCTCACAGCTGTAATATTTAGTGGAAAGACTCCCTCGCTGCGGTCTTCTGGTTGTTTCTGGGGACTGGAATGGTTAGACTGGACCCAGCGACCCTACAAACAATCACTTTAGTGAGTGCTTTGGGTTTGGCTCTTGATGTGACCATGATAAAAGCTTCCTAAATTTTGCTGATCAGAACCGACTGTGTATCACCAACACTTGTGTCCAGCATCGCACACACATCTACTAACCTGATATTCAAACGACGGTCATATGGCCAAACTGATCAACTACATCCTAGTTAGTTAAAAGTTCCGCGGCTGGATTCACGATAAAAGGTCGATGCGTGGTGCCGAATTTGGTACCACCCACGCAACTGGTCATGTTTTCGTTCGCACACACTTTATAGTTAATTTCTCGTCCGCCCCCAAAATGCCACACCCTGGATGCTTCGATTTCGTAAAAATCCGGCAACCCAGCACTGTCAAGGCCCTGAACAGAGGAATCCGCTCCAGTTTTACAACCCGAGCTGGTGGAGAAGGCAGTAATCAGTTGTCATAACTGAAGACTGCAGTCTACAGGGCATCTGAGGAAATTCTTGTGTATATCCAGCGCCACCGCAGGTACTGGATCAGTAGAATAGGTTTGGGCACGTTCTTCGTTGTCCACCTCACTCTTTGAGTTTTACTCCCCTCAATCCAGTACTGTTACCAAATGGAGGCGCCGAAAAACGTGTCAGCTCAAACTCTGACTTTAAGCAGTCCGTCAAGACATGGAACTGGATATTTGACCTTCGGTAATCGCTCTCCGCCGTTGATAAGGGGATTGGATTGAAAGTTCCACATTTGCTGCCACGAACCGTCAAACGTGGATAAGTGCAGTTCGTGAGGCCGACTTGAGTGGGCATGATCGCAGCCGTACTAAATAAGTAAGAATTACGACGTAGTAAAGCAAATGCGACGTTCAGCCGTACTTCCCTACCTACAAATTACACATTGAAAAGAGAACGATGAACGTGAAAGTCCATATAGGCTAAATGACCCTCGGGTTATAGAGACAACGGTTTGGCGGACGATTAATCTGCTTCATTTTAGTCGTAGCTTTATGCGACGGGACTTTACTTAATCCAAACTTGTTACAGCAGCCTTCGTAGTGTACAGCGTATCCATGATTATTGTCGTAATGACACTAGCGACTACGATTAATTCTAAGGTGTGCCGTAATATGTATTTTGTTAGTGTCTGCATCACGCTGTGCTTGTCATTAATAATAATTATAACGATAGTGATTATGTCTGCATGCACTAGTTAATTATCTGATAAAAATACGACCTCACGTAGTTATCAACAATTCCCCAGTCAAAAGCTCCTCCTACAAAAACCAGGGCGCTGCTCTTCCTTAACTAACAGATGTCCAAATAGTTGGCCTCCGACTGTGCCTGACTTTGCAGTATTGCCTTTTGCTTATACTTTCTGACCCTACTAGTTAGGGATGGGACATAAGCAGCGCCGTTTCACGGCTGCAGACGCAAAATGACTGTGAGCCAGATGTTGAATGGAGGCTTTAGATCTCGTCAGCCCTGCGCCCAAGCTCGTACCTCATAAAATAGAATTTGTATATGACGGAGATGCGCAAAGTAGGCTCTTAGGCTATCGGCCCAACGCCGTGTAAGTGCTTACTGCCCTAACCAGTATACTTGCCATGTTTTATAATGGACTAATGTTAGTGATAGCGTCTCTCAATCTTTTAAGGCCTAACATATTACATTGCAATTCATGTGTAGCAACTCGCACGCATTGACAGACGCTGTGTACATGCCCATCTGCAGACATTTTGCTGTTAAAAAATGTTAAGTGTGGGAGGAGAGAGTAGGGCACATGCTGTGAACTTCCCCCTCATCATAAGTCAACTCATGTACAGGTCTTTGTTGCTTCTCCGGCCCAAGGCGGCTTTCACCGAAGAACTGCCGGATGACTGTAGTAGTGCTTGCTTCCTCAAAATGTGACCTCATTCCTCTCTTTCCCTCTTCTCCCCCCGAAGGCGGCTGGATCCATAGTTTGGCCTTCTCCGCAGACGGAGACAAACTCGCGTGGGTGAGTCACGACTCAAAGGTATCTGTCGCTGACACGAAGGCGGCTGGTGCCAACCCTGCCATTGTCACCACGGTGGAACACAAGTACCTGCCCTTCGCCTCCTGCATCTGGATTAGCCCGAATTCGATTTTGGCTGCGGGTCACGACTGTGCTCCTATCGTCTTTAATTACAAGGGACCCGATGGCGGCATCACTGAAGGCACTCTGGTAATTATTCGTTTGCTATACGCTTTTGTTTTGGTCAAAAATGTACGGCTCGCGAGACAGTTCATTCTCTCTACTACCTATATTTTGCTTTAAACAGATTGACGCAAAAAGTTCCTCGCAATCGACCAATAAGCTTTCTGCCATGCGCAAGTTCCAGGACATTGATCGAATGGCAACCACTGACAACACAGGCTCTCGTCTAGCAACCATTCACCAGAACTCGATCAAGTACGTCTCCACTCCCCCGTTGGTTTTTTTTTCACCTCAACTATGTTTCACGTAGATTTGCGCACAGTTTTCCTGTAAATAGTTTTTATCGCCTCTTTAAAGCTACTAAACCTTGTTGATCTCCTTAGCGCCGCAAAGTCTGAGTTCCTTGCCAGGCGTTGCTTATCCGCATTTGACGTTCATCGTTCGAGTTATCAACTCCCGTGTCAGTTCTACAGGCTACACTTTTATAGCGGGGCCTTTGGCAAAAGCACGAAGCTACGTCACAAGTTCGTCATGGCATGTTGAGCCAGAAAGCCGCTTAGCGCGCACGGCAGTATCGACCAAGCGTAGTGTTTTTATTCCCATATGTTGTAGATCAAAGATACAATATTTTGCCGAAAGTGATATTCGCGCACGAGCCGCTCTTCCAATGAACGTCACGCCACGGCCAGCACTCTCAAATAAGCTAGAGTTGACGAACGAGGGATCCCCTGTGCCTGTAGGCCCTGAATAAAGTTGTTGTTGTTGTCTTTCCGCCTCCTTGTCGGGGTATAACAAAGCGCTTTGTACATTCCTTCAGGCCGTGTTGTGTACTTCTATGCTCATAATTAAAAGCGTTATGGGAGTGCGGTAGATGCATAAACTGGTAACTTAAGTGTTTGTACTAAACCTGCAATAAAAGCGAATTGGTAGTTACAGGGGGTTGTTGATAGTCGTAGTATGTAGACAACTCGATCGCCCTATTCGTCCAAGCGTGCAAGCTCTCACAAGAATCCTGAACCAGAGACATTTAGAAATGAGAACAACTAAGCAGTGTTTGTAGTGACCTCTCGCCCGTCACTTGCTTTCTTGACCAGAACCGGGGTTGCGTCATAGGACAAAGCGCACCACTCTATAAACGGCAGGCAGATCAATATGTCAGGTTGTGAATTTATGTTCTGAGCTTCCAGCGTGTTTGGCTGTGGACCCGCATCATAGTCATCCAGTTCACAAAGTCGAAGACGTGGATAGTGATTCACGAGAGGGGGTCAGTCTTTAGTGACACTAGTCTAGACTCGCAAGTTCTTGAAGCGAGCCCGCTTAACTGTAAGCACAGTTGTTGCAGGGCACCTGACTTCAA